AAGTGGAAAGTACGTTATGCTGGCCCGGGGTGTCTAAATAGTGCTTCCGAGCCAGCGGGCCATTTATAATGTCGAGCCCTGCTCTCTGTCACTGTGCATGTGTGTAATGTTTGTGTGCAAGTTAGACGGGGCCTGCGTGTTTGCCTGCGTGTGTGACTGTGTCTATGAGGGAGAAAGGAAAGCTCATTTTGGCCGCGGCGGGAAATTGATTTGACAACATAATACTCGATGTTCATGATGTGGTCATTTACGACATCGCATGGAGTGCAATCCACGATATATCGTGTAAACTCGATATATCGCCCAGCCCTACGTTCAATACATATTCGGAATTTTTTGCTAATCCGATCAGAAATTTAAGAAAACCGTGGATTTTTGGATCTTCAAAGAGCCATCCAATTATTATCCGCCTCGCTCATGAGAGTAACAGCTGGCGAAATGACGGCCTCGCCTACTGATTTTAATAACAATCATAATAACCATATATCAAGCCCGACAGTCGATTTCCAATGATTGAATGTAATTGTTTGCCTGGCCATCGTAACCGGGCTCTTTGAAGATCCACAAATCCACGGTTTTCAAACATTTCTGATCGGATTGGCAAAAGCTTCAGAATGTGTATTGACCGCCATTCAAAGGACAGCGTTGTTTTCCTCCAAAAGTGGAATTTTCGCCCGGAGGTGACGTAGGTGTTACTCTCTTCTATACCACCTAACTGTGGGTTTTGTTTTCAATAAAGGGATCTATCTTGAATTGACACATGTTCAAATAGTGGTCTTTTTAATACTAGTTGAACATGACATTTTGACATTTCTATACGTTTTTATATGTTTCTAGTTACTATGCTTTTTTATCTTGTTTTTAATGATTATTTTACTCCTGTTGTGTTATTCTATACTAGTGTATGTGTTCTCTGTACAGCACTCTGGTCAACTGAAGTTGTTTTAAATGTGCTATATATATATATATATGTATAAATACAAATTGAGATTGAATACTTTAATAAGGCCACTGTTCTTTTCTGAATGTCTTCAAAAGGTTTAATAGCATGCTCTTTATCATATTCCCTGTCCCTCTGCAGTCCTGTGAGAATGCCATTGTCTGCTGGAAACCAGGAAAGATGGAGGACGACCTCGATCATATTAAACCCAACGAGTCAAACGTGACGATTCTGGGACGCTTCGACTACAGCCAGTGTGACATCTGGTACATGCGCTTCTCCATGGACTTCTGGCAGAAGGTGAAGCTGTCCTGTCTGATAATCTAACACGCAAATGATTGACACTTGGAAAATGGTGCTTACATTTTGAACTTTTGAGGCGCTGTTTACACGAGAACTAAACGGGTTGTATCCGCTACTTTTCCCTCGCGTATAGCCCGTTCGTTCACTCGAGTCCGTAACGGAAACGCGGAAACGGACCCCGCGAACGAGAACGGGTCCCAAGTAGGGGTGCAACAACTAATCGACTTAATCGATTAAAATCGATGACCAAATGAGTTGCCAACTAATTCAGTCGTCGATTCGTTGGTGACGTCATCACGTGTGTTTTACGCGCCGTTAAGCTCCAACGTTATCGTTTTTTTTATCGGTACTGGAGACTAGAGATGTTAAGATTCACCGATTCGCATTGGTGCACCGGCATAAACGTTCAAGATGCGAGTGCACCGGTTGAAAGAGTGCACATCGGCTACAGTTTGGGTTGAACCGGGTTGAACTCGCGATGCATCGATTGCGTAGCTTCTTTGCATCGGTAAAAAAACGATTCATTCATATAAAATCCCCTCATCTTGTCAACGCTCAGCAGAGACGATCTTTGATATTTGCTTCGCCACTACGGAGNTAGGGGCGGTACACAACCGACGTACATCGTCGGCACACACCAATTTGACGGGCGGGGGGAGCGGGGTTGTCTGCCCCGCTCTCTATCTAGAGCAGAGCTAACCTTTCTAGCTTTTATGTGTAATCTGCGTAAAAATTGACAGACTCACCTCAACAAAGCGCTCCAAGGTGTGGTTAATTGTTACCCGTCTCGATGTGGAGAATGCTCTTTGCCAATAGTACAATACGAGTTTAGCATGTAAGGGCGGTAACACGAGCAATTTGTCTAAACATTTAGTAAAAGTGGACCACATTCAGACGGAGGAATGCACCGGGTTCGACTGTCTTTCTAGTAGCTCTGTAGCCCCCCCATCCACGAATAACTTTTCCACGTCAGCAAAAAAATGATTAGAGGTAACTGAGTTATTTATTTTGTTTCAGCTATTCTGTTTACAATTACGTTATCACATTATTTAATACGATTTGTCAAAACATTGTTGTTTCTTTTGATGTGAAATATTATTTATTTTATTTAAATAAAAAGCAATGTTAGTTGTGTTCACAATTTGTTTAGTTAATTTAATAATATATGTATTTTTGAATCAATTATTCATCTTTATTGTCTTCATTGTTAGTTTCCACATGCCTAAAACAACCTCAAGCTAAATCTAAAAGTTGATGGCTTTTGAGAAGCGTTTGAGAAATTGTGCAAGGCATACAGTATTAGTCAGAATAATCGATTAATCGTTTAATTAATCGATAGATTAATCCATTATCAAATTAGTCGTTTGTTGCAGCCCTATTGCTAACCCATGTTAACCAGTGGAGAAATAACCGGAAATGTCAAGCAAATGCTACCCCGACGTAATGATTTATTTTTTAATTGTCACACTAGATTACGCCGATTTTCTTGTTCCCCCAGCTGGTCGACACCTCTTTTAGCAGAAACAAAGGCTACATTAATGTATTAAATCGATGTTAATCCATGCGTGTTGATGTGGAATTAACGGACGTGACGTTGTGCAATTGAGTTGCCAGGCAACAGCTTTGGTTCATGTTAATTTACAAACTCTCCAACTACAACCGTAGTTATATTTAAAAACATGTTGGAAG